TTACGAAAAAATAGCCTTCTCTTTGGTTCAAAATGATTAATTGAAGTCAGAAAGATATTTACAGAACTTAAGTTGTCATTATGTACCGATTTAAACGTTGTGGTTTAATTTTTATGAGCACTTCATTGATTGTTATTGAATTCAGCTAAACCACTTTTTAAAATTTAGAGTATATAATGTTCATTATGACAGCATATTAAGTAAATATTTATAACAACTTAAGTTTATTACAACACCGGCAGGTGTTTTGGTAGAACACGTGGGCATGCAGACGACAGCGTGCATTTGGCGTGATAAATGCTATCTTAGTGTCGTCTGTTCTTACTTCCATTGTTTGAATGCATTACCGCACACATTTCACATGTTTAAATGCATTAAATAACGAATCACCTTAGTCAACACAGCTTGTTGTTATGAAAGTAGCTCTGGATCAGACTTATTTCAAATATTTCAAGATATGTGTTCCTACAGTCCAAGATTCTCCAACAGAACAGAATCGGTATATGACCATACTTTTAACTTTGTCTCAAGGTTTAAGCCTAGATGCGCTTCAAAATTGTCATTTAAAAGTATTAATTTCAAACATACATAGCTAGAACTGAGAGAGGTCCGTATAACAATTTTATTCTGATACAGATATACAGGTTATATAAAAACGTATTCAATAAGAATATGGCACAAAAAATTCTTCGTTTTGAACGCTTGGCTGCTATAAAAGTAAACAGAAGTAACGAACTAAACTCAATAAGAACTTATTAAAGACCGAGTTCGAGACAGAATATCACATAACAGCACATTTCATCACAGACACAGCGCGTGCAATAACAGATACCACTGATGAAGTTAATTATTTTTTATTCAAGTCTATATGTCTGTATATGTGTTTTATTGAAATGAAATAAATTTTACACAATTTACATGCTGCTAGATGGTATGGACGGTAGCTTGCCATAATCCACACCGTATGATATGGGACAACGTTATCGAGCCTGCAACAATTTCAATTTTGCCCTGTTTGAAGAACTTTATAGTTTCCTTTTTGGCGATTTAAAAAAAACTATCCCGGATATCCGGATATGATTTAAATGCTTCTTAAATCCATGCGCTATCATGTGCAAAGTCTAGATTAGCATTCATTAAGTGCACACTTTCAAGTGCCGTCATTTCCGGTTAGGTCATAAACTTTTTGTAACGTTATATCTTAATATGCCTTCCTTGAAAGAATTCCATTCAGTGTTTTAATACATTGATAGATATGGAGTGTTGGAGCAAGACTTATAACTTCAGTGTATCATACATAATTCACATAAATATATTTTAGTGTTTTTTTTAGTTCACTAACATGAGTATTACACTTTACATAAAAAATAAAAAATCTTAGGCAACATGGTAACGGAAACATTACATAAGTATCACATTGTAAATGGAACCGGAAACGTCACACGAGTATCATCCTGTAAAGATCAAATATCTTAGACAACATGATACCGGAAACGCCACATGAATATCATACTGTAAAGATCAAATATCTTAGACAACATGGTACCGGAAACGCCACATGAATATCATACTGTAAAGATCAAATATCTTAGACAACGTGGTACCGGAAACGTCACATGAATATCATACTGTAAAGATCAAATATCTTAGACAACATGGTACCGGAAACGCCACATGAATATCATACTGTAAAGATCAAATATCTTAGACAACATGGTACCGGAAACGCCACATGAATATCATACTGTAAAGATCAAATATCTTAGACAACATGGTACCGGAAACGCGACATGAATATCATACTGTAAAGATCAAATATCTTAGACAACGTGGTACCGGAAACGTCACACGAGTATCATACTGTAAAGATCAAATATCTTAGACAACATGGTACCGGAAACGTCACATGAATATCATACTGTAAAGATCAAATATCTTAGACAACATGGTAAAGGAAACATTTCTCGAGTATCATACTGTAAAGATCAAATATCTTAGACAACATGGTACCGGAAACGTCACACGAGTATCATACTGTTAAGATCAAATATCTTAGACAACATGGTACCGGAAACGCCACATGAATATCATACTGTAAAGATCAAATATCTTAGACAACATGGTACCGGAAACGCCACATGAATATCATACTGTAAAGATCAAATATCTTAGACAACGTGATACCGGAAACGCCACATGAATATCATACTGTAAAGATAAAAAATCTTCGACAACTTGGTAACGGAAACGTCACATGAATATCACATTGTAAAGATCAAAGATCTTAGGCAACATGGTAAAGGAAACGTTATACGAGTATCATACTGTAAAGATCAAAGATCTTAGGCAACATGGTAAAGGAAACGTTACACGAGTATCATACTGTAAAGATCAAAGATCTTAGGCAACATGGTAAAGGAAACGTTACACGAGTATCATACTGTAAAGATCAAAGATCTTAGGCAACATGGTAAAGGAAACGTTACACGAGTATCATACTGTAAAGATCAAAGATCTTAGGCAACATGGTAAAGGAAACGTTATACGAGTATCATACTGTAAAGATCAAAGATCTTAGGCAACATGGTAAAGGAAACGTTACACGAGTATCATACTGTAAAGATCAAAGATCTCAGGCAACATAGTAAAGGAAACGTTACTCGAGTATCATACTGTTAAGAGCAAGTATATTAGGCTACTTGGTATCGGAAACGTCACATGAGCATTACTTTGTAAAGATAGAAATCTTAGGCAACATGTTGACGGAAACATCACGTGAGTATCACACTGTAAAGATCAAAGATCTTAGGCAACATGGTAACGGAAACGTCAGATGAATATCATACTGTAAATGATAACGGAAACGTCACATGAGAATCACACTGTAAATATCAAAGATCTTAGACAACATGGTGACCGTGATGTAACTTCACATACAGAGATTCACAAAGAAAATGTCTGAAATCATACCTATTTCAAATTTATTCCGAAAACAAATTTAATAAACAGAATATGCCCAAATATTCACGTTACCACCTATTTGCCAAAATTTGTGATTACTAAGCTTGGTCGAAAATTTCTTTATCTAAAAGTAATTGATGTTCTTACAAAACATATATAGTAAAATACAATCTATATATATTTTAAAAATGGTGTTCCTTATTGTTTATTATTTTCATTGTTGCGGACGTTTAAAAATAACATTTAGTTACATGCCTGAAATTATTATTTTAAGATCTCCCATTTTTGGTAAAGCAATACGATATTTCCCCATTTCTTTAAAGTTTGCAATATCCATGTACTTTTATGGTTTTGTATGCTTTCGAGGCATCACCGCTTTTCCGATTTTAATAATTTTCATGCTCACTTGCTTTCAATCTTACTAAATGAAACATTCTTTTAACCGGCATTGCTAACATAAATAGGTCTGTAAATAAATGGATGTGAAAAATATTTCGCTAAAGTGCAGCCACCGCAGACCTTTCTTTCAAGAGGACATGCGGCTACTTGAACACGTACAGTCTCTCAAGAAATATAAAATTACCTTGAGGGTATACGCAACAAACGTCTTGATTTCAGAATACTAAGTAAGCGATACCACACAAATTTCTATAAGTACTCTCGAATATATAGAATACTAATTTGCCCATTACGAATTAGATCAGGTAATAAACCTTCCACCCTCTTCAAAATGGTTGTCACATTTTAAATTAGAAAAGGATTAAATTTCCACAAATTTCAGAAAATTGGCTGCCTTTACATTAAGTAGCATTACGCACTCGACAAAATTACCTTACTGTCAGAAAATAGAATAGGACAATAAAATGCAATAACTACAGGGCACAGCGTTTCCTATTGCTGTTTAATATGACGCTCAATTTAGGCCATATTGGGTAACAGATAAACTGCTTTATTCGACTTTATTGCCTTTAGTGTGTTTGATTCACCTGCCCAATTTGACGGGTTGTGTAAAACCATTGAGAATTATTGCAGACGAAACTAAAGTAGCATTAAAACGCCAATTCACCCGAGAAAATAATTTCAGCTCTTTTTTTTAAAGAAAATTTATCAGAAATAAAAATGCGAGCTATAATTTCTACAACATTCCTTTCAAATTGATTTTAGCGAGCGATTAAATTTGAAGATGGTGGGTATGAAATAACGGAAAATACAGGTAGAACGAAAGATGTAATACAATTGGTTATAATTTGCACGGGCTTAACATTATTGTTAAATAAATAGATATTGTGAATATGATTAAAAGACCTGAAAATGATAAACTCTGCTTGGGTTGAGGTCAACCATTAAGCGGAATGGCATTGTGCAAGTGTAAAACAAAAACAAAGCTTTAAGAGTTATTGCGACAAATTGCGCTTAACAGTGAGATGTTCGAAAAATTATAAATCTAAAATCATGACTTAATTTGGGTAATTATAATAGGAAAAAGCACTCGGCAGCAGTACATCCATACCTATAATTGATATATAAACAGTTCATATATGGAAATTGAGGGTGGCTGTAACCAAGTCAAATTTTCAGCATGGCACCTAAATGCTTTACCTAAGCTCCTGGACATATGCACAACGGCAATCCGCTCAAAAATAAGATATATCTGCCTATTTTTTTTTACCAACATGAAGTTAGAGTGTACTGATTCTCATATGATTAGCATGGTATATCACATTAATCTGTAAAAACGATAATTCATAATAAAACATGATATATTAACATTCAATTTTAGAAAACAGAGAAAGCTCAAATAAAATTGAGTCCATGATATCCAGATTATTTTCCTACTTGTTTTTCAATGTATCTATCTCTTTCTTAAGATCATTAAATGCGGTAAAACGTTTTTAAACTTCGAGCTATCAGAGGAGTCGAGGCGTAAAACTGTTTTTATTGAATGTCTAACAGGCGAATAAGAGACAAAATAAACACGAAAAAAACCCACTGTAATCTCATATTTCCCGGCTTTAAACATCATTGAAGTTAAGTGAAGGACAGCGATCAAACATTTTATTGTCATTTGAACAATAATTAAAATTGTATACAAAATTGATTAATGATATATTTAATATGTGTTGAACTGATTATTTCAGTTCTAAATTATCGAATGAATTGGTATAATGTTCAACAAGACGGAATAAGTGTTTAAGATATATAAAGCAGGAGACGGACGGTAAACTTTAATCGTAAATTTATCTATTTTCAAACTCTTACAGTGTTTAAAGATTGCTAAGGTGTTTGAAAAATGACAGCTTAAACATTTTACAACAGTGTTATCAGACGGAGAGCTCAGGTCAAGTTCGTATAGAAGTGTTTACGTTCCGCAATAAACCGACTTTACTAAAACTGGAGATCCGCTGAAGGTTTTGTCTGTACCGTTGAGGACTACTATATTGATCTGGGGCCTACACAAAGATAACGGTACGGGACGAACGCCGCAAGAGACGATGTTTTGAAGTTTTAATCAGTTGTGTAGTAGTGATAGAGGAAATATCTGTGTTACTAGGCTATCAGGGATTTTTGAAAGTATTAAATATGTGGATTTAGTCTTTACAATGTGTTTTATACACATTTCCTAAACATTTTTGTTCATAGATTATCACAGACTAGTTCAGCTGTATAGTTCAAAGCAGTGGTAACTTGTCGTCTTGTAATAAAGATTTTGAAAAAGTGCAATAAACTGAATACAAATTGGAGAATAAACATCGAACATGGATTCCAAAAGAAAACAATAACAATTAAAATGGATGATACACAGATGCCTCGTTCTACAGACGGACGGACAGCATGGACCATTGGCGTGCAGAAAACGTTGCTTTTATTTTTGACAACTTTGATAATGTGTGTGCAGACGGATAAGGTAATATGTCAAAAATTATATGCTGATTTAAATTTCATCATAATAATTAGGATAAAGCATCACTTTTATTACTATTAATATTTCTTTATGATCATGTTTGTTCATATATATCTTCAGTATATTACTCTATACAGTGGTAGTTTCATATTTGTACTGAATTGTCCCATTAATGTCATGTCGAAATAGAGGCTGAGGAGAACAAAAGTAATTATACAGAAGTTAAGTTATAAAATGTTAAAAAAGTGACCGAAAACATTTGCACTCATTGCTCTTTCGTTACGATGTGAACAGTATTGGCTTAGTGATTTTGTAACATTATTTTGATATATGATTATATATGTCGCGTTAATCAACGATAAAATACTATATATATATACATCATGTTACTGACGTTATGATTTATATAAATTTGACTTCAAATCATTTCGTTTTTGTACGAACAGGTACAGTATGGTGGCCATTGGGAGACATCGGCTTTTATTCATGTTATTCTTTTACAATAAAACAATCCCTTGTTGTACATGAATTCTTATCTCACAAAAATACATATTTCATTTGTGTAACATATGCAAACTCACTGCCTTGTTTAGACCAGAATAATATTATACAAGGGTTGCAGGTTTTATATTCAATAATGCGTATACATTTTCTAATTGAAATCTAATGGCTTTAAATGTCTCGTTTCGATGAAATTTAATCACATAAAATAACTCTCTATGAATTTCAAATTTAGCTGAATGGGTTTTTTTACCAATCATAATACTATTACATTGATATGCCGGCATTCAATCTAGGGGTGATTTTATGAATTTGAATCAAAGATAGCGAAGACCTGTGGTTTATGTCGATTTTATGTCAATAAATTAGCATTTTAAGTTATTCAGAAAAACGTCTCATATAATATTTGAATGTAATTCTTCATAAAAGAGTGAAATTATTAGCCTTGTTATTTTTTACCATTAAATCATTGTATACTTGAAACTGGGGGATTTCTGAATTGTGCAAATGAATTGCAGGGATAGAAAGTAGTATAATGTTTTTGTTCGTGATTAATGCAGTAGATATAAAACGATAAATGTGTGTCATGTTTCTAAAAAAGCACCTGTCTTAAACGATTAATGCATAGCCATGACTTTGATAAAACATGATTATATCCCAGGACTTGGACATAAAGAAACAGTCTCTGTAAATTATATCATTTATATAAATGTTCTCAATGCGAAAATTATACATTTGTTGTTGTTGTTGTGATGGTACATGTATATGCTGCAAAAATATGTAACAAAAATATCAGTAAGATAGGAACATTCAAAATTCCTGTTTTGTTTGAATATAGTACGACACATGACAATAACGTTTGTATAAATTAAAGTATCACAAACTCTTCACACATTACCGTTTTCAATTTTTTACATTATTTGCATAGTACATAATTACTGTACTCTATATCATAAAACTTTTGTATAAAACTAAAACACATGTTTATCAAGAATATATTATCTTATTAAGATATGTTAATATGAGACAGCTACTTTAATATTAATGTAATTTCAGTGTCAAATGCCTACCACTGTGGGAAGCGAGACACCGAATGTATCTAAAATTTCCTACAATCACTCAATTGCGACGATAAAATATCATGTCGTTTTTCGCTACATTATCTCGTCTTTTCATCCACAAAAAACAACTTTCTCATGAAAATACTTTTCATATCTGAAAACTTGATTTTTGAGCGATTTGTAACGCGTTGCGTTTGTAGCCTACAGCCAACACTTTTAATGTAATTGAGTTAAAAGCGAAAAAAATATAAATTTTAAAACTAAAGAGTATCTAGATGATATCGTTCATGAAAATTTCCGGCAGAACGTTTGCTAAAATAAGCGCATAACACGACAAAGGGGCCAGTGTTTCGTAATAAAGCGAAAAGATGAAATTATCAGATACGGTGTTTAATTAATATTTCTCTCTCTTTCTTTAGAATTTCAAATTAAAATTTATCAAATATTCGAACAGAAATTTAATTTTCTACATTTCCGCCAAAATTTGAAAGGTGTGTGTTAATTGAAGGTAATTATCAGCACGATATTTTAACAGGAACAACATCATCTGATCAATTAACGAAAATTATAAGACTGTCTATTTTGTTGGTTTAGGAAAACCCTCGTTTTCTGTAGCTCTAGTGACTAAGGCTACAAATGTCTTTTCGCGATGACATTGTTGTACATAAAACATTTTAAAGGAACTCCACAGAGGTTCAAAAACCTAAAAATATATAATTTGAATTTCTAACATAGATTAACGGTTACACTTAAACAGAAAGATACGCAAAAATAAGAAATGTACCCAGAAAAAAGTATTTTTGAGCTATTCTTGGTCCGGTTTGAGCGAAAAGCGTTGCAACGCTTTTCAATATTGGGTCATATTTCACAAATGGAATAATTGTTTTGAAAAAACAAACTATGCAAATGGCCTTAAATTTTGCACACACATTACTTTATATAGATCATCAAATAGAACATTTATCTAAAAAAATATTTCCAGTTCCGTCATGTTAAAAAATCTCAGTGGAGTCCCTTTAACAACAATATCTTAATAATTTGATAGTTTGCAACCGCTGTAATTCTGATAATTTCCAGTATATGATATCACTCTATGCAGTCATGTAAACATATGTGCGCATGCAGTCATGTCACTTTTTGTACTAGTATCATGATTTGTACTCTAAAGATACCATGCAATAGAACACCTTCTCGAGTAAAATAACCCGGATGAAAGTAATGAAAGCATAGCATATTTTGTACCGATATTTATAGAATTATGTGACTTTATTTAATGTAGGTTATTTCTCATAACCAAATTAGTTTAGTTTTAATGATATAAATTAACATTAATTCAAGTCGTATTGGTGATATAAATCAAACTATATTGTACATTTTCATGATCTTATATTTTTTACTGTTATGAAGCACTATTTTTAGTATGGTAAATATTACTATTTTAATATAAGAAATATTTTCACAGATGAACAAATTTAAGTTTCTTAACTCATCGAGGTGGTTTGCAATATTTTCTTAAAGAAATGGGAAGAGGATGTGTGTTATTAAGAACAAATTAGATGTTGTATTATTACATAAGCTGTGCATTTGATCTTGATCATAGTCAGGAATTGACAATCAAAAGGAAATTATATATTATTGCTTAATTATTCTATAATGCCCTTGTTAGCTGCTCTTCTATATATATATATATATATATATATATATGTATACATGTATTCTAGTAATTCACAGAGAACGAGGAAACATTAGAATACTTTAGGCTGTTCTATATTCTAGTTATGCATAAAGAACAAAATAAAACATATATGCAGTAAATACCAGACTGCACGTATATATACCATCCTTTGTTTAATTCAATTAATACCTAAGTACTTATTTGATAAAGGGGCTCACTTGTTTCATTACTATGTTAATAATACAGAGATAAATATATAGGTTAACAATGCGATGAAAAAGATTTTAAATGAATTTATCAATGAATATAGATATAGGAAGATGGTCTACTTTTGCGACTATTGTTCACGTATGTAGATATATTATTCCATTCATTATGATAACAGACTGACTGACAATGTTAAACCAGATCGTAGATCGTTATTAAACTGTTGATAATAGGGTTTGAAATAAATACTTGAAATGAAACCATGTTGAATATATTTACAGTGTACTTGAGATTTGGCAATGAGTTATTGGATGTATTTAAAAAAAACTTAATTTGTCTATAATAACGTTTATTTAGTTAGGTTTTACGAGAACACAAATGTTTGACTTGATAAATGACATTGTAGGTTTCCATCATAAAACAGATATATATGTACATAAAAAAGTGGAAGAGAGGAAGAAGAAGAAAGAAAAAAAAGAAAAAAAAAGAGAAAAGTTTTTGAAAAATATTGTCTATAAAAATAAAAAATGTATTTAAACCCCGGAACTATGCGGGAGTGGGAGGGGTCATATAGAAAGGACCACCGTTGGCGACTTTAAAAGCCCACACCCTCTAAATTTTGATCATTTTATTATGATCTGGTAGATAAGACTACATTTATTACAAAATATTGTCTTGTCTTTTATATTTTTGCACGACATATTGGCAATGATAAATCCCGGGTGTAATATAGACCAATATTTCCCGCCTGGGAGGTAGGATATCAGAAGCCGGGTTAATATTAGGTTTAATGATTATCGGTATAATTATATTAAACTATAAAATCTTAATCAAATTGTGTATTAAAACGATGCGACTTTTGGCGGTGACTCAATAAAAGCACGAGGCTTGGACATCGTTCACTTTATCCGTACTATATCTGAAATAACTGCATTTTTAATGCTTTAACACTTCTTTTTAATGTTAAGAAAAACATCTTTTTCACATCTTATTAAAAAGCTATAAATTTTAAGGAAGAAAATTTGAAATAAAGTGATTGATCTTTGATTGGTTTAGTGCCGCTTTATGGTAGTCTTCTCATAAATGTTGTAAAAAGGCTAATTTTAGCAATAAACCACTATATTAAATCGACATCCAAACTTTCTCAGCCATATGTTAAGAAAGTCATATTTTGTCATAAGAAAGATTTAATTTCCTCTTAAAAGCGGTGTTTTATTGCATAAAAAACGATAGGATACTGTAGTATACGGATGTTTTTGTAATTCACGAGTGCAATATTGTGTCTTCCTGTAATATTTTTCCTTAATGCGACAATAAAGCCTTTATTCATCCACACGTACAAAAAATAAAAATGATCAAAACTGTCAGCAGGAAAAAAATATTACAATTTGACATTCATACATTTAGACTCCATATATTACCTTGATCGTATCTGTACATAAAAATAGATGGAAATGATAACATAAAAAACATAAAATATTTTGATTTGATCATCTGTTACATCTTAAGATTTAATAGAAGGAAGTTAAGACATAAAGTAAGAAATATTAGTTCGTGAG